CAGGACGAGCCTGTTAGGGGGATTCACTGCTGAGAATGAAGGGAAAGAGGATGAAGGGACAGGGAGATTCATGATGTCAAGTATAAATTCTATATCCTTCCTAATTTTGCCTGGAGATGTTCTCAGAATTGCCGCAGGCCTCTTGTTGAGTACAGGTGGAAGATCTGTGAGAACCCATAGAACATGGATCTCCTCTGCCTACACTGACGCCACCTAGACTGACCTCTAACCCTGCTCACTTTTAAAAATTTTTCACTGGAAAAAAATGTATCCCTGAGTACAATGTGTGACAATGTTTATATTTATATATCACCCTACAGGTCTGAAAGGACATTCACATGCATGAATTAATTTGATTCTCAAGATGACTCTAGAGGTAGGCAGCTAGGCATTATTATTTGTCATATTTCAGATGAGAAAACCAAACTAGCATCAAGTCAATGCCGACTCATAGCGACCCCACCCCCACCCCACCCCCGGTGGGTTTCTGATAGTGCAACTATTTATGGGAGTAGAAAGCTCAGTTTTTCTGCAGAGCTGCTGGTGGTTTTGAACTGCCAAGTGTGCGCGTCGCAGCCCAACGTGTAAGCACTACACCACAGAGAAAAGGGAGCCTGAGGCGGTGAAGTCCTGTCCGAGTTAGCACAGCGAGGCAGGGCTGGAACCAGGGCTGGAATGCTGCCTTCCCTCGTGCTCTTGTGCATTATCCCACGCTGCCTGCTCTGCCTCCTCCCTGGCATATTAGGGACTAGTTTCTCGTTTACAAAATTATCCAGATAAATATTTATTACGCTTACGCTGTTCATTTGATCTATTTTCCAAAAATTTCTACCACTTTTCCCGAACATATCATTTCTTAAAACTCAACCACGAAGACGTTTTTCTTGGCACCGTGCTGCTTTCCTCAGTCTTTATCCAAAAGAGGAAAAGCACTTGTGTTACATTTTGAGGGCACTTGGCTGCACATTCTAAATAAGATTTGGTCAAATTATTTCTGGTCTTATAAAAATTCTGCATGCTGGAGTTACTGTACTTAAAGGTTTGAAGTCTGCTTCTTCCTTTTGAAAGCTTTTCTATCTTTTTTAAGGTTTTCAATGTGGTCAAATAAGGAAATCAGTTGGCAAAATGTTACCACTTGCTGTAGCGTCAATTACAATCCATGTAATTGTAAAGCACCCCACGTGTGCTTTACTGAAAGCCACTGCCGTGGAGTTGATGCTGACACACAGGAATCCTGAGGGTCTCTGAGGCTCTAAATCTTTACAAGAGTAGACAGTCACACCTTTCTTCAAAGAGCAGTTGGGGGATTTGAACCACTGACCAACACTTATCCGAAAGCACAAGAGCTCCTTAGGTGTGCTGTAATGCATTTGAACACAAGCCACATGGAAGTGGTTTGATTTATGAGCTTTAGATGGAAAGCAAAACAATATTATTTGCTCACTGTGGCTTTACTTCCAGTCCATGTGATAGCATGAAATCACATGTCTCCTCAACATGCTAGAAAAATGATCTGAATTCTGTGATCAGTGGGGAGGGGTAGCTCAAGCATTCATAATCAAAGGATGTAGGCAGGTGCTAGAAGGAAAGAAAACACATTTCTTACAGAACTTTAGACACACTGACTATGTAATAAAAGCATTTGTATTAGACTTTTACTAAAAGTATATATTTTATAAGCTGGGCTACATTATCAGGAATTATTTTATAATTTTTAATTCTTGATTTTTATAATACTGGAGAAATAAAAGAAATATATATTGAAAATATCAGAAAAAGTCAAAACTAAATAAATAAAATATAGAACAATCTGAGGAAATGTTAGGGATCACCATAAGGAATACAGAAATAAACGAGTAAGGCAAAAAATACTTATTATCATTACAGGTACTTCCCACAAAAGACTCCAAAGTTGGTGCACGAAGTTTCTGACAACAAAATAACTGACGACTTCACCTTATCTAGTCACGGAACTGCACCTACGAAGGTTGTTCCCAGGACAAATGGTTTACTGCTACATTTACCACACAGAGAGATGGCACTGAATGAGGGGAAAAAATAGTATTTCAACATGGTTCTAGAAACTGTGCTGCTAAATATTAGTCATTGAGCAAACTGAAGAATTATAACAGCTGAAGAAAAAAAATTACAGTAGCTGATGCTACTAGTGACACGTGGTGGCAAATCACTTTTCAGCTTCTAAAAAAGCAGTTAGATGTTTTACCTTTTGCACTTGATTCAAATGAAACAATGAGTTTTTAAGTCTAATGTAAACTGTAGGTGCTACGTAACAATTTCATGAATACCAAAATGAGAAGTTTCAGAACCCTTCATTTCAGCACATGGAACTTAAGACCACTTCTACCTTTGAAACTCATCAAGATCAGCAGTCTTCTTTATACAGAATCACAGTCATGCTTTCTGTCCATGCCAAACAATAACTGCATGTGAATTGTGGGCTTTCCTGTGACATAGAGATCAGGCACTCTGTGAAGCCAGGAGAGCCAGTTACAGGGTGCTAAATTTGCCTTTACTTTTTTTTTTTTAAATAATCATTTTATTAGGGGCTCATACAACTCATCACAATCCATACATACGTCATTTGTGTCCAGCACATGAGTACATATGTTGATGTCATCATTCTCACAACACCCGCTTTCCACTTGAGCCCTTGGTGTCAGCTCCTCCTTTTTCCCCCTCCCTCCCTGCTCTGCCCTCCCCTGAACCCTTGATAATTTATAAATTATTATTATTTTTTCATATCTTACTTGCCTTTACTTTTTAGTATTTACATCAGTCAAATAAGAAGAATCTGCAATGCTAGTATTCCAGAATTATGTTGGGCCCCGAAACATTGCTATTATCACCAATATGGTTTCATGAGGATGCAGACACTGGACCAAGAAATGTGTTGAAATGAAAAAGTCATGTGACACTATGCATCACTGATGTAGTTTGAGAAGACTTCAACCTGCCCAGGAACTCACACATCCTCCAGAAGCTGAAAATCAGTTCTGCAGACTCTAGAGTAAGGAGCTTCTAGAAAGGAATGCAATCCAAATGACACCTTGATTTCAGTGTAGTGAAACTCAGATTTCTGTCCTGTACAATTGTAAGGGTTTTTTTGTTGGTTTTAGATCACTATGTTTGTGGTAATTTCTTAAAGTAGCCATAAAATTTGCTGTACTAACACAAGTGGAATATCATAGTAATAAAAAGGACTACTTTACTGATACATGTTACAACAAAGGTAAGCCTTGAAAATATGCCAAGTGAAAGAAGTCAGTCATAAAGCCTCACATATTGTATGGTTTCAGTTTTATGAAATGTCTAGGATGGCAAGTGCACACACAGACAAAGTAGATTAGTGGTTGCCTAGGGCTTAGGGTAGGATGAGGAGTAACTACTAATAGATGCAGGATATCTTTATTTGGGTGATAAAAACGTTTTAAAATAGATTGAGATAATGACTACACAACTCTGAAAATATAATAAAAATTATTATAATAAAATATAACATAACAAATAGGTGAATTGTATAGTGTGTCAGTTACATAATCTCCTGTCAACTTGAGTGAAGGGGTGGAGTCTAGCCTGTCAATCAGGTCATTGCCAATGAGGCCTCTGGGTGGGCATGGCCTTCTCTTGAGGATTCTGGGAACTCCAGTCTTCCTTCCAGGAGGGGCTACACACACTCTCCCTGTGAGACATTCCTGTTGACAAATCACATGGAACTATGCTGATGGAACTAGAGCCCTGGAGCTGGAGGAGCCATGTGGAGACCCCTGCCAGCACTGAGATGCTTCCACCACCACTGGATTCAAAAGACTTTTCACCCACTGGCCTGTGATCTTCCTGCATTCAGTGTCATTGCATATGTTGTGTGAGTCTGAAGAGGAATGTATAGACTGATATTGGACATATGGACTAATATAGGACTTATGGACTTGATCTGGACTGGGATGGGATGTTTTCTCAATGTACAATTGCTCTTTTATATAAAGCTCTTTCTTACACACATATGAGTGTCTGTGAATTTGTTTCTCTAGTCAACCCAGACTAACACATATGCTGTGTGATTTATAGATCCCTAAAGTATATATATTCATACAAATGAATATAAAAATAATATAAAAACATATGATTGTACAACCAGGTGCATACATAGACTTGTCATTCTTTGTTGGAAAATCTGTAGTGATTTGGATAAAATATAGTCTTAGCACGACACATAGAGCTCTTCATTCATGATCTGCTCTCTACCAGCTGCATCTCTGATCATGCTTCAAAAAGTACTAAAGGACTTGAAGTTTTTCTCCTTTTCGTATCTCTGCAAAAGTTGCTTTCCTGCCTAGAACATTCTTCTTTGTCTTACTCATGTCAGTTTCTGAATGTAGTATAAGTTTCACCTATGGAAAGCCTTCCCTGCACCATTTTGTTCATTTCTTCTGTTTTCTCTCTTGGACTGTAAGTTTTAAAGTCTTACATCTTATTATTTTTAAAAATTGTTTTACTTGCATATAATTCGCATATTATACAACTCAATAGTTCAATCACATTAAGAAGAGTTGCACAATCCCAATCTGACCCCACCACACCGAAGCAAAACACTGAGGGCCTGCAGCACAACAGCAAGGGGAGCAGAGCAATGATGTCCCCAGGGAAGACCAAAAATAGACTTTGGGGCCAGGGCATGGCACCCCATCAGACTCGAGTGGAAAACACTCCTAAAGAAGGGTTGTACAATCATTACCACAATCAATTTAAATTGAGCTGTGTAATCATCATCACTTCTAGAGAGTACTCCCTCCCCTTCCCACATACATTGTTTGCTCCCACAGCCCTCTCACCCTCCCCACCTCCATCCCCATCCTTCCTTCCCTATAAGCCCTTGCATCACTTCTTAGCTCTGCGCCTCGACTCCTTCTGCGCATGTGCTTCACAAACTGGAAGACCCAACAGAACAGTAAAAGAAAACAAAAAAACAGAAAACAGTAAAGGAAAATATGGAGTGCTTCACGAATTTGTGTGTCATCCTTGCACAGGGGTCATGCTAATTGTCTCTGTTTCGTTCCAATTTTATTATATGTGCTGCATAAGCAAGTACTATGTTACAATTATTAATGAATATTTGCAGCTATTTCTTCTTATTTGGAATCAGGCCACACCAGCAGATGAAAATCTGTAAGCTTTATTATATCTATCCATGATATTAATGCTGACTCTGCTTTGAGAAGCAGCTTTCTCCAATTGAATTTTGAGCACCTTCCAACCTGAGGGACATCCTACCAGACAGCGTTCCACTTTTATTTATTAAGTTTTCACTGACCAATTTTTTTTAGAAGTAAATCCCAAGGTCCTTCTTCCGGGGCTGCCTTACTATGAAAGCTCTGCTGAAATCTGCCCTGCTAGCATTTGAAATACCGGTGGCATCATTTTCAGCAGGACACCAACATGCGAGCCACCACAGGAGGGCCAATTCCCGAGGAGGGGTGGGATATTGAGGTAGGTGATTGGTATTTTGTATAAAAATTCAGATAATCTTCGTAATGTGATTCATCTATTTGTTACTTTAAGCAAGATTTGTTTGTTTTGGGGGCAGAGCCAATTTCTTTTATGTTTCAGCAGACTTTTGCCTACAATTATATCCTGTTTTTAACTTCATTTATGTAGAACAGTCACTCTTTCCTGGTTTTACTTTTCCTTAAGAATTTTTGGTCAGTAATACTATATTTGAAGTGTTTTTTTCTTTTTAAAGTTTCCCCTTGTTTGTTTTGATAACAGATTGGGACAAGGGTGTCCTTTTGTGGACTTTCTGGTTTCTGGAATTTTCCTCCTATGCCATAAATCAGATGTCTAAATAGTTCCTTTTACATTTTTTCTCCTTTTCGAGTTAAAATAACCTACTGCTATCGAGTCAATTCCAAATAAGAGTGACCCTATAGGACAGACTGGAATGGTTTCCTGGGGTTTCTGAGGCTGTAAATATTTACAGAAACTGACGGCCTCATCTTGGTGCCAAGGATTGCTGGTGGATTAAACTGTCAAACTTTAGGCTAGCAGCCCAATGCTCCCCGCACTGTGCCAATGTCTTACAGAAAAGAAATCTTGCATATATGGACAGCAATAGATTTATTTATTGGGGGCTAGTGCAATTCTTATCACAATCCATACATACATCCATTGTGTCAAGCACATATGTACATTTGTGTCCCTCATCATTCTCAAAACATTTTTTTTTTTCATTTTAGCTGGCTTCTTTCATGGGTATAGGGAAATTTTTACCAAAGTAATTTTCATAGGTATCTAAATATATTGCTTTCATTTTCTTTTTTTTTTAAAATTATTTTATTGGGGGCCTGGTGGCATAGTGTGTTCCATGTTCGGCTGCTAACCACAAGGTCAGCAGTTCAAAACCACCAGTAGCTCTGCTGGCAGGAAAAAGATGAAACACCAATAGATTTTAAATGTCACTGGTAGGCTAACATAATGTAAACAACTGCCGGGGTGTGTGTGCTCTGAGCCAGAATGCGGCCTCCTTTCTCAGGTCGCAGGTTGGTGCAGTTGGAAGGAAGTTTCCTCAGGGGGTATGACCTAATCCTACTTAAGCAGACTCTGTGAAGGGCTTTCCCCCTTGTTGCTGGTCCAGCTCTTGCATTTGTTTCATTAACTAACCACTATACTGACTGCCCTCGATGCAGCCTTCATATGGCCCGCTGACCTTGGATGCATCCAACTCTGCCACCACGAGCCTGACTTGCTGACTTTGGGTTTCTGCGCTTGGCCTCCACCAGCATGAGTGGTCTTCCTGCTTCCTGGTTCATCTTCCTGTTTCCTGGTTCATCAGCCCCAGCAGCAACTCCAGTCAGCAAAAACCCCTACTTTAACATCAGACACATGGACTTGAATCAGACTGGACTTAAATTAACCTCCTTCTAGAATTGTGTGAGCCACTTTCTTGATATAAAGTTCTTGGGGGGGGTATGTTTTCTACATATGAAATCCAGGCTAGATATAGCTATAGAGACAGTAACTGGATTAATGGTTTCTTGGTGGTATGGCAGGGGAGGTTGGGGGAAATAAGGAGCTAATAACAACGAGTACAAGAAAAGAAAGTGTTCTAAAATTAATTGTGGTGATGATTGTACAACTCTTCTTAATATGACAGAACTATTGAATTGTATGATATGTGTATTATATGCAGTGAAACTGTTCATAAAAGACACGATGTCCCCTCACTGACCCACAGCACTGCAGGAACAGCACTGGAGACACAGTGTGGGGATTGTGCCCAGTCTGCCCCCCTACACCAGGCAAAACACAAAGAGGACCCAACAGAGCAGCAAGGGGAGCAAAGCAACGAAGTTCCTGAGGAATCCCGAAAATAGACTTCTGACTCAGGAAGCAAGACTTGGCACCTCGTTAGACCCGGTCAGCAAATATTCCTAAGGGCCAGCAGACAGGCCTGGAACTATTTATAAACTTTTTTTTCCTCTTTTTTTTTCTTTTTCTATGTCTATCTATATAAGATAGGCAGGATAAACAATCCCGAGGCGAAGACAATGGGACCGATGGTTATAGGGTGGTGGAGAGACAAGGGAGAGGAGGAGGTGGGGAAAAGGGAAGAGGGAGCCAAGGAAACAAAAGTGAACTAAAATTGATGGTGAGGAGGGCGTAGAATCCCTGGTGGGGTTTGATCAAGTGCGTTGTAGCTGAGAGGAATTACTAAGAGCTGAATGAAGGTCAAACATGATAGTGGGACAGGAGGAAAGTAAAAGGAAACAGGAAAGAATTAGGAGGCAAAAGACATTTATAGAGGTCTAAAGATAGGCATGTATATATGTAAATACATTAATATATAACAATAGGGATATACGTCTATGCACATATATTTAATTGTTAAGTATTAAGTTAGCAGACAGACATTGGGCCTCTACTCAAGCCCTCTCTCAAGGCAAGAACTCTTTGTTGTAATAACCTGGCATTCTGTGATGCTCCTTGCCAAATGTGATTGCTGAAGACAAAATGAGTACATAAGCAAATGTGAAAAAAATAGATGGTGCCCAGCTAGTAGAAGAGATAGCATCTGGGATCTTAAAGGCTTAAAGTTAAACAAGTGGCCATCTATGAGGGAAGCAACAAAGCCCACATGGAAGAAGCACACCAGCCTGTGTGATCACGAGGTGTTGACGGATATCACGCATCAGACGATCCAAAACAAATAATCATATTGATGAAAACGAGGAGGTTTGGAGTGGAAACCTAAAGCCCATCTGTAGACATTTGGACATCCCTCACAAGGAAGGGACAAGTCAGCCATGTGCAGTATTGCACCGACAAAACACAAAACATTCCTCTAATTCTTTATTATTATTATTGATAAATCATTTTATTAGGGGCTCTTACAGCTCTTATAACAATCCATGCATCAATTGTATCAAACACATTTGTATATATGTTGCCATCGTCGTTTTCAAAACATTTTCTTTCTGCTTGAGCCTTTGGTATCAGCTCCTCTCCCACACTCCCACCCTCGTGAACCCCTGATAAATTATAAATTATTGTTATTTTCATATCTTACACCGTCTGCTGTCTCCCTTCACCCATGGTTCTGTTATCCATCCCCCTCAGGGGTGGTGGTTATATGTTGATTATTGTGATTGGTTCCCCATTTCTCCCCCTTTTCTCCCCACTTTCCCCCTACCCTCATGGTATCTCTACGCCCATTACTGTTCCTGAGGTGTCTATCTGTCCTGGATTTCATGTATTGAGCACTGTTATCTGTACCAATGTATATACTCCAGTCTAGCCTGATTTGCAAGGTAGAATTGGGTAATGATCTGGGAGGTGGGGTGTGGGGTGCACTAAAGAAACTAGAGGTATAAATATAGGCATGCACATATGTAAATATATTAATATATAATTATAGGGATATAGGTCTATGTACATATATTTAATTGATAAGTATTAAGGTGGCAGACAGACCTTGGGCCTCTATTCAAGTACTCCCTCAATGCAAGAACACTTTGTTCTAATAACCTGGCATTCTGTGATGCACACCTTCCCTACATGATCACTGAAGTCAAAATGGCTGCATAAGCAAAAGTGATGAAGAAAACTGATGGTGCCTGGCAATTAAAAGGTAGAGCATCTGGGCTCTTAAAAGCTTGAAGTTAAACAAGCGGCCATCCAGCAGGAAAGCAACAAAGCCCACCTGGAAGATGCACACCAGCCCGTGTGATCCTGAGGTCAACACAGGATCAGGTATCAGGCACGAGACCTCAAGCAAAGATATTGATGCAAAGGAATGGGTCTGAGTGGAGATACAAAGCCCATCTGTAGACAATTGGACATTCCCTCACAGAAGGGTCATAAGGAAGGAATGAGTCAGCCAGGGTGCAGCATAACACCAACAACACACACAACATTCCTCCAGTTCTTTATTGCTTCCTCCCTCACCACTATCATGACCCCAGCTCAACCTTACAAATCAGGCTAGACTGGAACATGACCACTGGTATAGATAAGACCCTCAATGCAAGAACACTTTGTTCTAATAACCAGGCATTCTGTGATGCTCACTTTTCCAACACAATCGCTGAAGACAAAATGGGTGGATAAGAAAATGTGGTGAAGAAAGCTGATGGTGTCTGGCTATTAGAAGATATAGCATCTGGGGTCTTAAAGGCTTGAAGTTTTAAAAAAGCGGCCATATAGCAGGGAAGCAACTAAGCCCATATGGAAGAAGCACATCAACCGGTGTGATTATGAAGTGTCAATGGGATCAGGGATCGGGCATCAGAAAACCCAAAACAAGCAACTATTTTGATGTAAATGAGGGGCTTGGAGACTCAAAGCCCATCTGTAGACAATTGGACATCCCTTAACAGAAGGATCACAGGAAGGGACGAACCAGCCAGGGTACAGTATTGCACCAAGGAAACACTCAACATTCCTCTAGTTCAGTGGTTCTCAACCTTCCTAATGCCATGACCCTTTAATACAGTTCCTCATGTTGTGGTGATCCCCCTCAACCATAAAATTATTTTCGTTGCTACTTCATAACTATAATTTTGCTACTGTTATGAATTGCAATGTAAATATCTG